TTCGGGTTGGTGGCTTTCCGGGTCTCAAATACAGTATTTTTGGGCATTCAGAGTCTCAAATAATTTATCGTCGCGGCAACCAGAGTCTCATTTCTTGTTTAAAAAGATTTCTTAATATAAAGCTCGACCGTACCCTTAACAGAGAGAAAAGTGTCCTGCAAGCTTTAGAAGATGTGAGAGGTCATCGTATAGACCCTAAGGCATCCGACCTATTATCACCTCCATATAAAGGACCCCACCCCTATCCTAAACCCGAATCCCAAGCCAGGTATATGGACTTCAAGCCGGGAAACCCAAAAACCCTAAGCTCTAAAGTTTGGGTTTGGGGGATCAGGCCCCTTGATTCATAAAGCCTTCAAGCCCCAAGCAAAGCAACCCTGAACCCCACCCAGAACTCAACTGCCAACGGAATCCTTTGACCGAAGGTGAAGAAGGATCACATAAACATACCTATGTTACGAATAACGTTGAGGTTTAGTAAGGGTTGTTGTTTTACCCTAAACCCTAAACCCTAAACCCTAAACCCTAAACCCTAAACCCTAAACCCTAAACCCTAACCCTAAACCCTACATCTATCCGGAGGTCCTCTTCGTCGAATTCTGCGCCTGGGTCCGGAATCGTATCAGCCCAGATGCCCCGCGCTTACACTAGAACAGTCTATTCGAGTTTAAGGATTATAGGGCTTCTGAATTCCACGGTTTAGGGTTTAGGGTTTAGGGTATGGTAGTTTTTAAAATAGAGTTTAAGGATTAGGGCTTCTGAATTCCACGGTTTAGGGTTTAGGGTTTGGGGTAGGGGTTTGTGGTTTAGGGTGTGCTTCTAGCGTTGAGCCGGAAGAGCTCGTTAAAGGGTGTGAACGGAGGGAGTGTTTAGTCAAGCTTGGTTTTGCGGAAGACGACCTGTTGCAGTGCGAGCGTCATGGTTCTGCTAGGGTTTCCATATGGGTCCTAGTTTTGCAAGTGTTCTGTAAGGGCTTCGGGAGTCGGAGGTTGGCTGACAGAGCTGTCTGGGCACCCAAATGATGTCAGGAAGCTGAGGTGAGTAGTTCTCTAAACTAGGGTCCCTTTTTAGGTCCCCAACATAGTACGGCACCTTTATAAAAAGGACCCTAAAAGGGACCCTAATTTAGAAAACTACCTAGGTACGACGTATGCCTTCACGCCCTCTACTTCCTGCGAGAGTCCTTGCGGCCGCACATGCTAGCGACTTCAATCACCTCTACCTTAAGAACCCCAGACCTACTTTTTTTTTAGGGTCCCTATAAATCCCATATTAGGGTTTATAATAAGAACCTACAAAAAAGTGGGTTTTGGGTTCTTAAGTTATGGAAGTCATTCCTGAGGCTTTGCGGCGGGCACAAAAAATGGCAAAGGCAAAACATCCTGCGGTGGTCGCTAGCATTCGTTTTCGAGGAGTGTCGTGATGCGTACGGATTGAAACTGCAGGTACTTGTGCGCATAATGTCGCCACAGCGCCCGAAAGCATCGCTCCTCTCAGTATGGTCCCGAAGCATCCCGGGCCAACTTTGGACGGGGTTGCAACTGAAAGCTCGATTTGAATTTGTTGCTTGTCGTGTTCGTGGTGATCGCGTTCTCTCACCACCGGTGACCGCTGAACTCTGATCACTACAGCTACTATAGCTCTTATTATTTGGATAGGTTATTTGGGTCATAAGGTTCTTGCGGTGTTCTTCAGCAGGTTACTGCGTTCAAAACTGAGTTAAGGTTGCAGATTTCAGTGCCGAGTTTCCCGAGCAGCTCTCCTAAACCCCAAACCCTACACCCTTCATAAACCCCTAATCCCAAACCTCGAACCCGAAGCCCGAGCCCCTAAACCCATAAACCCTGAATCCCTTCGACACAAAACCCGCTACAGGCGCACGCAAATTTTGACGGTGACATCGTCTCCGGGGAACATTGTGGACGCTCGTTGCGCCAGCACAAAGGCCCGCATGGTTGGGTTTAGGGTTGAGCGAGCAGGGTTCAGGGTGCAAGGGTGCAGGGTATCGGCACTACAATGCTCCTGGCAATGTTGGTTTCCTAGGTAGTATTAGGGAGACCCCTTAAAGGGGACCCTTCTTAACCCTACCTCTGGCTCTCTTAAACGGAACCTTATTGAGACGGTCTATATCTCCAAGCTCCCAGGGTACCTTAATCCTAAGTCCTATGGTTGTAAGTTGTAAGATGCCAAATGTGCTCGGAAGTATGACGGGAGGCAGGTTCGGTTTGATTTGAAGGTGCGCGCAGCACACCTTTCGAGAAAATCTGGCTTGGATGCTAAACCATGGCTCACAGAGTGCAGTTTTTCTTTTTGGATTTCTACTTGTAGTACATACAGAACCATTGAACTTATGTGTAATTAGGGTTTCGGTTTTGGGGTTGACACGTAGGGTGTAGGGATGGCAGTGTTGGTAATTTTTGTGTTCTTCTGGGTGCCCGAAACCCCGTCGCGGTTCATTGTATTCCATTCTCGAAGCCCTAAACCCTAAAGTCTAGAGTTGTGACTGTTCGCAGCTCCTGGGCGCTGGTGGTCTGAAACTGTTGGGTGTAGCTCAGTGCTTGCTGGCAGCCGGATGCAATCTCTGTGGGTTGATAGAAGCTTAGGAACACATATCAAAGGTAAGGTTGGGGGCCTAAAAATAATTACCTATACTATTTTGGGGGCTCCTTCTTATAATTATAGCAGCATGGGCCCCAAAACCCTATTCTACTTATTAAGGCCCCCTATACTAACTGAAACGTCTCTGGGTTTACGACTTGATTACGACTGAAGAAGTCGGATCACCCTAAACCCTAAACCCCTAAACCCTAAACCCTAAACCCCTAAACCCCTAAACCCTAAACCCTGATTCAGTGTTCAGGTTGTCCGGTTTCGGGTGCAGCTCTTCGGGTTTAGGCTTTTAGGGGCTTTGGGTTTAGGGTTAGGGGTTTAGGGTTTTAGGGTTTTGGGGTTTGGGGTTTGGGGTTTTAGGGCTTTGGGTTTAGGGCTTCTGGGGTTTAGGGGTTTAGGGTTAGGGTTTTAGGGGTTGGGGGTTTAGGGCTTTGGGGTTTAGGGGTTTAGGGTGTAGGTACAGCCAGGTAATGCTGCGACGCACGAGCATTTCATCAGCAAAAAGCCCCTTGGCACGCAGAGACGGCTAGCAAGGGGTCATGGCAGCATGTGCCTTAAACCCTAAACCCTAAACCCTAAACCCTAAACCTTAAACCCTAAACCCTAAACCCTAAACCTTAAACCTTAGGATCTTCTGAAGGCCCTAGGGTAGTTGTAAGCACAGCTGTAAGTGATTGAAGTAATCAGCTCAACCACGGACGTAGCTAGTTTCAGGTGCCGTCGCCCTGATTGTATCCCTGCTTGCGAGTTGCCATGATCCTGTTCGGAAAGTCTGAAACCTGTACCCCTCCTCCTAGATTGAGAAGCTACCTGCAGGTGTCTCTTCACAAGGAAGCCGCCCGAAAGAATCATAGTAGGTTTAGGGATCTACCTCAGAATTGTCTCTCGCATGTGTTCTGATGGTCTAGACCCTTACGTTGAACTCCTGCGCACCCTGAACTCCCACTTTAGTTACAGGTTCTGAGCCTGCAGCATCTAAGACTTTGGATTTTGCGGTGTTGGGTTCAGGGCGATCGGGTCTAGAGGCTTTTGTCCGAAGGTGGTGTAGGAATTTGGGGTTTAGGGTTTAGGGTTTGGGGTTTAGGGTTTAGGGTTTAGGGTTTAGGGTGTTCGGTGTTTAGGTTTTGGAGCTTGAGTCGTAGAGTTTATGATTCAGGGTTTGGGGTATAGGGTTAGAAGTTCAAGACCTAGCTGCCTCTTCTCAGATTCTCTCTCCTAACACAAGACTACAGTAGAAGCCCAAGAGTTGGAAACCCAATAGCCTCAACCTTTAAGACCCCTAAACCCTAAACCCTAAACCGTTTAAGAGTAATGTACAGGGATTCCCAGCCCCTAATTGCCCTTCATCAGGTTTCCAACTTTTAGGGTTTAGGGTTTAGGGTTTAGGGTAGACTGGACTCAAAGCTCATACCAATCCCTGAACCACCCAAGCTTGAGCCCGAAACCTTGAAGACCTCAAGCCATAACCCCGCGCCCTCCGTAGGAGCCTAGAACCCCAAACCCTCAAAACCCTCAAAACCCCTAAAACCAAAAACCTTCACCCCAAGCCCTAAACTCCAGAACCGTTATAGTAGGCCTTGCGCTACCCCGTTAAAAGGGAGCCTTTAAAGGGGCCCCTCGACCCGAAACCCTAAACCCTAAACCCGAAACCCTAAACCCTAAACCCTAAACCCTAAACCCTAAACCCAAAACCGACCCGACACCCCTTCAAAGCAGGCCTCTTGAGAAGAAAGAGCTCAGGAACTTGGCAGATTTCGACTCGCTGGAAAAGGAGATCAAGGCCTTAAGCCCTAAACCCTAAAGCCCTAAACCCTAAACCCTAAACCCTAAATCCCTAAACCCTAAATCCCTAAACCCTAAACCCTAAATCCCTAAACCCTAAATCCTAAATCCCTAAACCTTAAGCCCTAAAGCCCTAAACCCTTAACGCGGAGTTGGGGGGCTCCTTCAGGTCGGAGCTTTGAGGGTTCCTTTATACAGGGAGTTCTAGGGGTCCTTTCTAAAGGGAGTTATAAGATATAGGGCTCGATTACGGGTTCCTTTAAGGGGCCTGAACCCTAAAAGAAAGTTATAAGTTATAGGGTTCGATTAAGGGTTCCTTGAAGGGGCATAAACCCTAAACCCTAAACCCTATTTGGGTTTAGGGTTCAGGGCTTTGGGTTCCTTTAAGCATCACAGGAGCTTGCCCTTAAGCTCTGAAAACCGACCCCAACCATGAACGGGGGGGGTGTTAGGGAGGTACGGCGTAGGGCGTAGGGTTGGGGTTTAGGGTTTAGGGCATATTTGGGGTTTAGGGTTCAGGGTTGTTGCTAGTTTCAGAGTTTCAGTCTCAGAAGCTTTCAACCTTGAACGAACGGATACAGTGATGAGGAAGTTCATGCTGATGCTCAATGGTCTGTTGGAAGACCTCTCCACATGGGGCGAAGCATGCCCGTGTCGCGGCTGGGAGCTGCCTGGATGCCCACTTCGTGGCCGGAGGGCTCCCGAATGTGCAGGAGGAATCTTTGACAGCTTCTTGGATTCCACCTTGGCTTCAGTGGCTAGCTTTTTTATAGTCTGCGGAGCTGGCCTGGGCGAAGGGAGTCCTGAATGGAACGCTTTGGCATCGGACTGGAATTTGGCTGGTGACATCATTTGCTCCGAAGTTCACACCAAAACAATGCATTGGAAGCAGCTGCCGTGGCTGCTGACTAGCATTGCTCAGCATGATGAGGAGAAAGCGAGGTCCGCAGCACGAAAGTGCATCGACAAATACGAGTCATCAAGCACGGATCCTCAGGGTTGAGGGCTTATTTGGGGTTTAGGATTCAGACTCCGGGAATATCAACCCACGGCATCTATTTTGCATTGAAGCAGCAACATTCTCACCAGGGCTTGTGTTTCGTTCTGTGGCGTTAGATGTGTGTTTCCATTTAAGAACATGTTGGCATTATGATTTGCCAGAAGTGTCCAGTGTCAGAGTCATTCTGCAGATGCTGTTGAGGTTGAGGTTGGGACATGTTGTCCATGTATCGTCGTTTTGTGTTCTTAACGCGCCCATTAAGCCACAACCCCCTTCTCCCTGTTTAATAGAGTATTTCGTATCGGGTGCCTGAATAATTACATAATACTATGCTCCTTAGAGTGCTCTAACATATTTGTAAGAAAAAGGAAAGCCCTCTTCGAATCTTTCAGGCCCCCCCCCTGATGTTAACCCCAAATATGCCCTTATTTGTAAAACAAAAAAAAGGAAAGCCCTGTTCGAATCTTTCAGGCCCTTCTGTTAAACCGTAGCCCCAAGCCTTGAGCCAGAGGCTCTAGCATCGGACCACAAGAAGCTTCACGCGCTGGGGCCCCAAAAGTCGTGAGAATCACGATTTGGGTTTAGGGCAGTTCACGATTTGGGTTTAGGGCGGTTTAGGGTTTAAGGAATCACGGTTTTCGTGTCCGCTATACTGAGCGTAAATATTGACTCAGGCGGTAAACCGACTTGTAGCGACTCCAGTATTCCTTAATTCAGGGTCACGTATGGACTCCAAGTTTAAGGTTTTTTCCTTAACTTCGGTGTTTTGGATTCTCCGGATTGACCACTAAAGATGAGAAAGTAGCAGTAGTAGTAGTAGTAGTAGTAGTAGTAGTAGTAGTTGTAGCAGTGTTTGTAGTTGAGAAGTAGCAGCAGCCAGTGAACGCGAACAGCAGCATACTCGAGAATGCCGCAGTATTACAGACAGCAAGAGTGGTAATGATGGCCGTAAAACAAAACATATCACCGCGCGTGCAGCACCGGGACTGGTTTGAGAATAATGACGTCTGTGATGATGGCGTCGATGATTGTAACTTGTTGGTGTCGATGTTGATGTTGTGGGTGACCATGACAAGAAAGCGCTGATAACCATCATGCTGATTTCAAGGCTTCAAGTGGTGAGGTTGCTAGCTTGAGGCTATGGCGTCGGAACGCCGTACTCCGTTTCGAAAATCAGGCGCAGAGTTTCGGGTTTGGCGCGCGCTGCTTGTGACGAAGGCGAAGGAAGCAGCAAGAGGACCTGGGACTGAGAGCCGAAACCCGAAATCCTGAACCCCAAACCCCTAAGCTCTAATTACCCCAAGCCCTAAACCCTAAACCCGAAACCCTAGACCTCAACTACTAAAAGACCCGAAGTCGCAATCCGTAAAGACCTTAAATCGCAAACCCTAAAGACAAGAATCCCAAGATCCCGCGGCACCCTCAACCCCAAACCCCGAAGAAAGACCCGACTTATACCTTTGCCTGAGTAGCAAGGAACACTCTTGCAACAGAGTTCTTGAAAGTCAGTACAGTGACCACACAACCATCGTCTGATAGTTCTGGTTCCGATTCAACCCTTCTGAAAGAAGGCTCTAAACCCTAGACCCTAAACCCTAAACCCTAAACCTAATTTAGAGAACTACCCAACTTCCCGAGACGGCCCGATACACTCATAAACTCCAGGTACAATCCTTTTGATCGGCCTAAGCATTCTGGCACAGTTTTAAGTCTCCACGCCCTAAACCTTCAAACCCTAAAGCCCAAATCCTAAACCCTTACAACCTAAAGCCTAAATCGTAAACCCTAAACCTTCAAACCCTATAGACCCTAAACTCCTAAACCCTAAACCCTAAGCCCTAAGCCCTAGACCCTAAAACCCTATCCTTAAACCCTAAGGGCGACATCCTAGACCCCGCCGGAGGCTGTGGAGGATCCTCGACTTTAACGGCAACGGCATTGCAGCTCGCTCGCAGCTTCTCGCGCTCCTAAGTCTCTCAGTGTTTTGGGCTAGCGGGTCTAGGGTTTAGAGGTGACGCTAAACGCTAAACCCTAAACCCTAAACCCTAAACCCTATAAGCCCTAAACCCTAAACCCTAAACGATAAAAAGGGTTTAGGGTTTAGGCGTGAGGGTTGCAAGGGAGCTTAGAGTCTGGGACTTCTGGGCTTTAGGATTTGTTGGGTTCGGGTTTTGGGGGCTGGAGGGGGGGTTTAGGGTTTAGGGTTTAGGGTTTAGGGTTTAGGGTTTCGTAACATAAGTACCGAGGTAAGTTTGTAGGCTGCAAAGAAAAGTCGCGACGGACACACCGCCTATGACCATGGAGCTGCAGCAGCATGATAATTTTGTGGCTAACGAAGCTAGAGTACAGTAATGAGAGTGCTGGCAGATTGAATACTAGAACACCTGTACTATTCCGACAGGGCTTCGAATACCTAGTAGATTTCCTCTGGTAGTCCCTATGTGATTACACTTCTAACGTGCCCCAAAGCCCTATTCCATGTAGCCCCCGTTTACGTAAGCCCAATAACACCCCTAAAACCCCCATACCTCAAACCCTGTGCTCATTGGGTCTGTGTTTAGGGCTTAGGGTATAGGGAACACCCTGACCCCCCAAAGCTCGTCGACAACCCAGGTCTCACTGGCTGAGATCGACAAGATGGTCGTGGAGCAGTACCCGCTGCTGAACCATAAGCCTCGGCCCCAGTGTAGGTGAGTTTAGGGGTTCGATTTGTTGAGGTACTTTGGAGTTTAGGGTCAGGCCCTAGTTTGTTTTTGCCGGTCGTTGTTGTTTAGGGTGTACATATATTTTCCATGGGTCTTCGTAGTTTAGGGTCCGGGCTTTTGGGCCTCTGAAGTTTTCAGTCTGTGGTGGCATTGGGGCTTGAAGGTAGAGTATGACGTTTATAGGTAGCATTGCAGCTTCTATTCGATGCACTGTTCCTGCAATACGTATGCTGCTGTGCTGCTGCCAGTCACAGCAGCAGCTGCTGCGACAGCAGCAGCTCCTCCGGCTGCTGCAGCAACGACGGCAGCAAACACAAGACCTACAGCAAGAACAACAACCGCTAATAGCACCAGCACCAGCACCAGCACCAGCACCAGCACCAGCACCAGCACCAGCACCAGCACCAGCACCAGCACCAGTACCAGCACCAGCACCACCGCCGCCACCAGCACCACCAGCACCACCAGCACCACTACTACTGCTGCTGCTGCTACTGCTACTACTACTACTACTACTACTACTACTACTACTACTCCTACTACTGCTACTGCTACTGCTACTGCTGCTGCTGCTGCCACTGCTACTGCTTCTCTAGCTCCTGCTCGTGTTACTAGTAGCAGCTGCTGCTGCTGCTGCTGCTGCTGCTGCTGCTGCTGCTGCTACTTCTACTGCCCATGGCCATTACTACTGCTACTAAACCTAACTCCCGTTTCTTGTGCCCCTCTGTGAAAACCCCTAAGGCCCGCCCTGATGCGGGCTTACAAGAAGACGATCTCGAAAGAAGGCGCGGGGCTTGGGGAACCCTTACATGGGGCTTTCTGGTCTCTTCGTCGTCAACCTTGAACCCACAAACCTTACGCCCTAAGCCCTTGTAGGAACCTTGCCTTAGGGCTTTTTCGTTTCGCTTAGGGCTTCTCGGGTCCCTTAGGGCTTTTCGGGTCCCCATCCTCCCCAAAAAGAGCTTCAAGACTCACTAAAGTTATGTACAGGTTGGTTATTGCTGTACACAGAATTGGAACTACAACACGTTTTTAAAGCGTGTACAGATAAACATGAATATCCATGTCAAACATGTGCAAACATGTGCATACATACATATGTATGTGTAATTATATATATATACATATATGTATCTATGTATACATATATATATATATATTCTATTTCTACGATTTCTGCAGACATGTACATCACAAGGCACCCTGAACTCTCATTCCAGTTATGCAGGGCCTTACAATCATAACTTCTATCCTGGCCTGCTGCAGGCGGTGGAGATGGTGACGACTGGGTCGAGCGCAAGGTGGGATGCAGGGTCAAGGCTGCCTCAACAAGCAACGCAATCACTCAGAATCCGAACATGATGAAGGGAGGGTGTCTCTGAATCAGCGGCCTGCATCAGTTTGTAGAGCCCCCAACCCTAAACCCTAAGCCCCAAACCCTAATTGAACCGTAACAAGAACGCAAGATTTAGAGATGAAGTTTCAATACAATTTCAAACCTGAATCTCTACTCTCCCAGCCCATTCCTAGGGCTCGTCCTAGGACACGGTTCTAAGCAGACCTTGAAGCAAGGTTCTTTTGGTTTAAGAAGGTCTTGTCATCTATCTAGCTAAAGCTCTAGACCCTAAATTCATGCCTGACGGTTTTTAATAATACACATCAAACCTGAAGCCCTAGACCCAAGCTCATTGCTAAGCTCGTGGTTTTAACTAGATTGCAGAAGCGCACCTTCTTGCTTGGTGGCTGAGTAGGTAACCTTTAACCTTTTGGCGTTTATATGATCCTACCGTAACTGAAAAGGTTAACCTTTTTTGGGCTAGGGTACTCAGCCCCTAAGCTTGTTTCTTTTTCATGAGATGCCCGTTTAGAGCTGAAATGTTCAAAGCGCAAGGGGATGTTGTTTTTGTTTCAAGTGAGTACTGGGGAACCGTTAAGCACCCAAGCCGCAAATAGCTCGAACATCCCAAAACCTGAAAATCCCCAAACCGCAAGACCCTAAAGCCCTAAATCCGTGCAGAAAATCCTGAAAATCCCTACGCCCTCACACCCTAAAGCCTCAAGCCCACGCATGCTGTAGGAGTTCAAGCAGCTGCTTGTGAACCTCTTCTACTTCAACAAGGCGGCTAGTCTTTTTGTTTGGGTTTGTCTTTCTGAAAGCCAGGTTTAGGGTTTGGGTTTAGGGTTTAGGGTTTAGGATTTGGGGTGTAAGGGGTCTTATTGACATTGAGGGTCCTACAGAGGGTTCCTATAAAGCGTTCCACTGTTAAGGTTCAGGATTTTTGACTTTAGGGGTTTGGGTTTGGTGTGTGGGTTGTGGGGCTTGAGTTGCATGTCGCAGAGTCATTGGGTTTGAATCTGTTCAATGCCTAGGGTTTTGAGGCTTAGCCGTACGCTGTGATGTTACTGTCTGTTTCAGACTTTAGGGATTCGTGGCATTGTGTGGGGTGAGGAGCGCCAGGAGTTCAAAGTAGCATGTAGATGCCCCGAAGAGTCGCGGCTTCCGTGAATCAAACTTACGATACTTACGAGCAGTCAATCATGATAAACGTACGTATGTGTATGTGTGAGTATATATGTATATGTATACATACATACATATATATATATATATATATATTTATGACGAGGTCGAAGAACGGTAACTGTAGTGACGACAAGTCGAAGTAAATAACGCAAAGTTTCGTTGTCCATCGGAACGCCACCGATAACGGCTATGGAGCAGCAACCAAATCTATTACCAACCACCACTTTCGAAGAGCACGGTACATACATATATATATATATATATACATACTTGAGTGCGAGGTGGTACTTATCGACAAGCGGGGTGTGGAAGTTGTGCAGCTAGTGTTGAATTTCAGGGTCCTCTCAAATATATAGCAGCCTGAAGCATTAGCTGAAGTACCCCCCCACCCCTGCCCCCCAAGAAACAAAATTCTACTCTGATGAAGCGCATGTAGTCCATCACTCGGAGTTGGAGGTTCCTGCTCCACCGAAACGGGAAGCAAACTCCCCCCAATCCGGACTAGACGGTTTGGGACGTAGAGGTTGGGGTTAGGGTTAAGGCTAAATTCGGGTTTAGCACCCCCGAAACCTCTAAATCGCCAAAGCCATCAGAAAAGCATGCACAGGTTTTCTGGATCTTCGATCAGTCTGCCGGCGCGGACTTGGATCGGCGCATGACGCTGCAGGAGCCGGAAAAGTTGTAGTGTGGCAGAAGAAGAAGAAGCGGGAGCGGTGGTAAAAGTGAGTCAAAGAAATTGGACCAGCATATCTCGTAGAATTCAGATTTATAGCTGATGATGATGAGTAGCTGGTGGTATCATTGGTTAGTTCCTGCAGCCACCGTGCAGGTGGCAACTGCCCCCGCTACAAGTCCTGCTGCTACGGCTGTTACTGCTGTAGCTGCCTTTACCTTGTTTCTGCTTCTCGTGTTCTCCTTCTACCACCAGTAAACTACATTCACTACATCCACACCGCTTTTTATTGCCACTCCGGTGCTACAAGTAGCATTAGGCATTGCCTAATACCAGTACTGGTGCTAGTATGTACTGGGCTTGGACCCTCACTCAAGTCCATGCATCCATGCCTCTCTGGTGTTCGTGTTAGCCTGTGAACGAAGTTTTAGGGCTAAAGGGGTGCCGAGCTGTAAACCCCATACTTATATGCCCTAAGCCCTAGTGGTAAGAGTGGCTTGTGCGAAGAGCAAGTAATGGCATGCAGCACTGATGCCCAGAGACTCCAAAGCCCCTTAATTAACGAATATACCTTAAATTGTACTAGGAACCCTAGTAAGATTTTTAAGGTATATTCCTTAATTAAGGGATATGGAGTCTCTGGGTGGTAAGCTTGATGATGTTAGCCGATGTTGAATAGCTGCAACAGTTCTGTCGAGCCCGACCGCGAGATGCCTTTGCATCTTCATAGCTTTATGTGTCTTCATCTGCATTAGGGTTTAGGGTTCAGGGTTTAGGATCATCCTCATCATGTTCATTGATGTTCGCTTCCTCTCATCATTATCTTACCATCCGCACCATCTCGAGATCACGTACCGGCTTGCGGCTTGTCATCTGACGTTATCCTGCCGCCAGTAAGAAGCTGACCGTGAACGAAGTGTAGTCCACTCCGAAGCGCTTGAATGCCCTGGACGAAAGGAGTTCAAAAGGTGCCTCGTGCTGTGCGGCTGCGGCATGCACGATGCCGACGCACGCCGCGAGTTTCAAAGCATCGACAGGCAGGGAACTTCGATTGGAAGCTTGGGCATGTAGGTAGTAATAAAAGCGAACCGAAAATCTATAGCGTTCCTTGTTCATAACCAATCATGTTCTTACCCGGGGTTCCCTGATATAGCTACAGTAGAGACCGTAAAGCTTGCCCTATCTAAGCCCCACCTGAGGACTCCAACATCCCTTTGTTGAGCATCCCCGGTTCACGATCCCAAGTGTAATTTCAGAATATTCCCCTGAATTCGCAAGGTGTTGTTTCTTCAACCGTAGTTTAACCTTAGATGAACACCCCTGTTTAGCATCCATATCGAAATCTCGGTTTAGGGTCAGTTTAGGGTTAAGGGTCTCAGTAGTTAGTGGCTGTAGGGGAACTGTGCAGGAACGGAGGTGGCATTGTCCTTTTCGACGAGTTCTGCCTGTGGTTCGCCGGAAAATCCTGCCCACAGGCACCCATGCGGCTTTAGAGCCCTAAACCCTAAACCCCTAAACCCTAGACCCCTAAACTCTAAACCCTAAACCCTAAACCCCTAAACCCAAAACCCCTGGACCCCTAAACCCTAAACCCAACCCTGAACCCTAAACCCTAAACTCGTGGAGCCAGGTGGCAAGCACGAGGGTCGTAGCAGCTCAGGTTTCGGGCTTCGGCTTCAAGAGATTACTATAGGGGGGCCGTAGTAACTACCTATACTATGTTGGGGGGGCTCCTTATTAAAAGTATAGCATAATATACCCCAAAACCCTATTTGAATTATTACGGCCCCTATATCAGTTCTATAGACACCCATACCTTCCGAAGTCCTAGCCTTCGGGCTTCAGATGGAATTTCGGGGAGATTCCTGACTTGTTTAGGGTTCAGGGTTTAGGGTGTAGGTTTAGGGTTCAGGGTTCAGGGCTTAGGGTTTAGGGTTCAGGGCTTAGGGCTTTAGGTTTAGGGTATAGGGTTCAGGGTTTAGGGCTTTAGGTTTAGGGTTTAGGGTTCAGGGTTTAGGGTTCAGGGTTTAGGGCTTACGGTGTAGGGTCCAGGGCTCAGGGTTTAGGGTTTAGGGTTGAGGGTTTAGGGTTCAGGGTTTAGGGTTTAGGGTCAGTTTGTCAGAGTCTACGATGTTCGGTTCAGATCTCTTGATCTTTAGAGAGGACAAGGTTGATCATTGTCATGGCAGTATTGCTAAACCCCGAACACCTCAACACATCCTGCACCTTAAGCTCCTTTATACAGACTAATTCCAACTTCTAAAACCCTACACCCTGATAGCTGCCTGTGTGTTTTTTGATGGATTGGACCCTCCCATGAAAGCAACGGATGAGTGTTGATAGAGCTATCATATACAGGTGAGTGGAAGGCATGTACCGATCATGTGTTTCGGTTAAGAGCACAAGAATACGAATACTGATGATCATCGATCTTGGTCTTGTCAGAGACTACTGAACTTACTTGTCTTAGTCATAAGACAATCGTCACCGCTGGGGTTCTTAGGTCGAAAAGCAACCCCACACCGCCGTGCCGACAGTATTCATCGTAGCACAAGCGACCATATGTGGATAGTATGAGTAGGGATAGGTGTTGTGGTAATATGTCTCCCGATCAATCTAATTGGTGTGATATTACCAGTGCCCAAAGGTGCGGCCGCCCGTTGTTAGAGTCCCCTGTCTTGCGTCTCAATGATGCAGCACCGTGTCTTCAGTGCCGTCACAAAGGGTGTGCAGGGTAAACCCTAAACCCTAAACCCTAAACCGTCTGAGGTAGCCACCGAATTAAACCCTGGGAGCCTTCCAGGAATCCTTGAGGGCAAGCCTTAAGCTACGTCATAGGAGCCCTTAAAGGAGCCTCGGATGAAACTCCGAAGCCCCAAACCTCTCCCTGAGCCCTGAACCCTAAACCCTGAAGTCCGGATTTTAAGCCCTAAACCCTGAACCCTAAACCCTAAACCCTGAACCCTAAACCCTGAACCCTGAACCCTAATCCCTCAGCCCTGAACCCTGAACCCTGAACCCTAAACCCTAAACCCTAAACCCTAAACCCAAACCCTGAACCTAAACCCTAAACCCATCGAAGCCGCCAGGGCATGGTTGCACTCGTCGAATAGGCCGAATCCTGGGAAGTTGGGGGGTTTAGGGTTTAGTTGGTTTTTTGCTGGGCTTTATTGAGGGTTACCTATAGTCTCCATTGTAGTTCCTTTTTTTGTTTAACCAATTCTATAGTTAGGATCCTATCAGGTAACCCCAAAAAGGAACTACTATGGGGCCTATGGGTAGACCTCAGAGCCCCTAAACAGGCGGAAGTGGAAAGGTTCCGGCAATATGTGATGCTCGGATTTTTCAGTCATGGGCTCCTGTGCT